CTGGCATATAGTTTCAAGCCAGTACTTGTGCGGACTGTTGTTTTTATGCGGCACCGGCTTAAACAGGTCATGTGATCTGATCACGCCGGCATTATTCTTATCATTCTTTATGAGCGCAGTAATGGTAAGGTAGCCTATCTAATTACTTATTTATAAAGTGGAGACAAGGCAGAAATCCTACAATGAAGTGGGACACTGTTCTCCGTGAGATCAAGAAGCTAAAACTACGTTTTATTCAAATTCCAATTATTGACGGGAAGAGCGGTGTAAATGGGTGGCATATATGCATTTGAAAAGAAATGGTAATCACACAGTTATCATACAATAGGCTTAAACAAATATAGCTCTACACCCCTGGCCGAAATGTCCTTAAAATGAAGTCCGAGTTCGACATTTTAATTCATGTCCTGCCAACACTGGAAGGACAGAAGGCGACACGCCCGTTCTAAGCCGTGTCCCTCACTCCTCACATCCCAAGCTGCATCCCCAAAAAGTGTATTATGTCGTTACATCGTTTCAGATGTTATCTTTCAGTTTTGCTCTTGATAAGCCATTAAAACAGTAAAAACACATTCAGTTTCCTTTTGCTTTTTGTGTCACCTGTACACCAGGTGTCTTGGTGTACAGGAGACAGGAGTTTTACTGTATTCAGTAATCGGTAACTGATTAAATTGACAAAGTAACCCTCCCAACCCTACACTACACATTTTTTTGGGATTTTTTAACACCATAGTCCCTATTATATTCGTAGAAAGGCAGGAAATTGAATTAAATCGGAAAAATGTTTAATTGTGTTTCGTAAAAGTTTATATTGTTGTGAATGTCAACCATTAATTTTCCTTTCTTTTGTTTCCTAGACCTCAGAGGTGACTGAAGTCCTCACTTGAAAGACTTCTCTACATGCAATGAGATCTGGATATCACCACATCCAAGGAGGGGACTGTTCTAAGTTTCAACACTCTAGTTATGTTGGCACTCTCCTGTCCCCTCATGACATTAAAGGCACACCTGTATCAGTGGTTCCCCCTGAAAATGGAATAAAAAACAACATGATAGCCATTCAACTTCCTGGAGAGCTTAGAGTAGCTCATGGCTCAGCTCAGTTGCAGCAAGGCTATGCACATTCCAAACAACATTTTAAGAGACTCCACCGCCATCCAAAGTCACAGTCAAGCATACTAGACTGTGAATTCCAGCCCCTTATACCTGGGGATAGTGCATGTTACTCTCAGGGCAGTCGCATCCAAATAAGCCGAGAGGAAAATGGTAATCTTTTTTCATCAACACATGTCTCTGGTTATTTGGGGAATATTGCTAAATCTGTTTATAACACTTCCTATCAGCAGCAGGACTGCTCTCGCTCTGTAAGCAGAGACAAAGTCTTGCCAGTTGAAGAATTGGAACCACCTACAGATGAAGAAATACATGACTATGTTGCAAAACGCGTCGCATATTTTCGGACTATATCAACACATGTACCTTCCAAAAAGCTGTGCAACAGGGACTCTCCACTGCAGTCTGACCACATCTCACCAAAGGTTGACTGTTTTTCCCATCTCCCCAAAACCTCTGACGGTGAAGACATGGGGAGGCAAACTCTCAGCAACGCTGTAAATGAGGAGTGCACTGCAGCAGTTGGACCAGCACTTGAAGAGGACAATTCAAAGGGCAGCAAAGCATTTGCTGTGTTAAGGCCCAAGTCTAAAGGGATCGACGATTGCTCTGCATCTGCGTCAGAGAAACATTCAAAAGGTACACTATTCCCTGCTGTCAAACTCAAAACATGCTCCTAAAGAATCTGTTGAGAAGAGTTCATCGATATATTTAGATTTGTCAGTAAAAGAAAACCCTTGGACATATATATACCTGCACACGGCAATAACGAACTTGTTTATTCAGATGGCTGAGGATATAAAAAAAATTGGTAGCAATTATTATAAAAGTTTTCATAGCAGATGGTATGAAATGTATTTACAGGATGGCATGAACACTCACTGAAGGAGCTCATTGCTTGTCTGGAGAATTTAGAGAACATTGCAGAGCTGGAGAAGGTCATACTGCGACAATATTGGAATGGGAGTAAAGATAACATTCATCTCTTTGCATCCACAGAACATCCACGAAAAATGAAGAAGGTTCCTGCCCCTTGCACAAGGGAAGAAGATGGAAGGCCAGTGGTAGCCGCAGCAGTGCCTGAAATGACCTGTGAAGAAATGACTGAGAAGCAATCCAGTTTGATTTTCAACGGTAGCCCGTCAGAAAAACAGAAGTCCTTTTCGTTAAATATTAAAACAAATTTTGGAGACAAAAGCCAACTGCCTGATGTTTCTAGGGCTCCCAAACACACCATGGAGAGGGAGACCGGCAAAGTGGCTCTAAAACCAGTGGAGGCAGTTGGGTTGGACAGTCTGCGCGATATGAACGACGTCTCAGGGGATCCTCAAATCAAGCTAACTTCAGTGCTATCTGAAAACAAAGCTTTTGGACAAGCATCACTCATTGAAAATCAACAATGCACCACGCTATATTCAGCTGTTGATGCACTTAAAATTCATAATGTATGGTCAATTCCTACAAACCAAAGTGAAGGGCATAGCAGCCAAACAAGTTATGAAGGTCCAAGAAAGGATGCAGGTTCTACGCGCTCACAAACTGATTCAAGCATAGCCCTTTCAGAAAACAAAGTTGATTACTTTCCTACAGCTTCTGAAGACGTTATGAAAGATGAAAGTCCCCACATTGACGATATGACTGCAGAGACCTCTTCAACTACACCAGATCCCAACGATAAGCAGTCATCATTTGAAAATGGAGGCGCTGGATTGAAAGATGAAGATACTGATGATTATGAGGGTGATTATGAGGATGATGATGATATGTTATTCATACCTATAACTATTTCCGACGTTACATTTGAAGATCAAGATCAAGAGAGCCAAGAAAAAGATGGGCTAGATGGTGGAGAAACAGAAGACCAAGAAAGACAGTGTGATCCAAATCCAAACCACTATCCAAAATCAGTACTAGCTTGTGGTTCTAGACAAATGAAAAAGTTTGACACAATTGAAAGCTTTTTAAAAGATGTGAATTCTAAGAAAATACAGGTGAAATTGGTTGGCACACCTGCATTTGAAATTGACTCTGAGGGAGAAGGTTGGTGTCATACACCTCATAACAGGAGACAGTCTTCAGACAGCTGTGAAACTGACGACAGTTGTGATTACCCATTCGATTCAGATAAAAAACAGTTACCACTGTCCAGGAGTTTGTTTGTAAAGGGTATTTCGAATAAAAAAGAAATAATAATAATTCAATCTGACTCTGAAGATGATGTTGAGCAAAAGAAGCCAAAAAGGAAGAAACTTTTCGCTTCCAGCTCAGAGGACAGCGACAGTTCCACATGTAGTCACCCAAAGACACATTCATCCGAAACTGAAGGCAGTCAATGTGAAACTTCAGAAGAAAACTCTACAAAAAAACGACGGTTATCTGCAGACTCGCCAACACGCCAATCTAAATGCCATGATGCACCGTTCGAAGAAGGGATGCAGAATGCATGCTCTGACCTGTTGCACAGTGAAGAAATGAATGGGCAGCTGGGTGGCTCCACCGAGAGTGTAATAGTCATTGATTCTGACACAGAGGACGAAAATACATTCATCTGTTCAGGGTCGGACGACAGCGATCGCCGATGTGTTGAACAGAAAATACAGTCCCCTTTAACTGTGAAAAGTGGTAATGGTTCTGCTAAAGACATTCTTCAAGAAGTCAGACAGTCTTCTGCAGACTTATCGCAGTCACTGAACCAGTCAATGCTTCATGATGCACCACAGAAGACAAACGGACATGATTCTGATGTGATAAAGAAAAGACATTATCAAAAACGCAGGGTAAAGTCTAAAAGAATAGTCTCATCAGAATCAGAGGAAAGTGATGATGAAACTGTGGACAGTCTTTGTGGAGCTGCTAATGAAAAGTCAAAAAATAACAGTTTGTCTTCCAAGGATCCAAAAGATAAGCAACCCCAGTCTTTGAACAAGAAGGCCAACTCAACTTCAGGTTCAAAATCTGTGATTCCTCGCTCAGTTGTTGAAAAGCCTAATCAACATCATAAACTCTTTAAAGCATCTAACAACGACCGACAGGTTAAAGATTGCAATCCAAAGTCCTCCACAGCATCCAGTAAAAAGACTGACTCTGTCGATAAAAATACATTGGATTTGCCCAAACCAAAACGTGCAAACGATGGACCACATACAACAAAGCATAGCGTTCAGGTCAATGATAAAAAAAACACATTATTTTCAAGACAACATTCCTTACCGGGCCAGAAATGCACATCCACCTCGGTCAGTGAAAAACATTCTAAAGCCAGACGAAGCTCAGCCGGCTCGAGAGATTTATCTCCATCTGGAGAAACACCGGCGTCCTCTAATCATCCTGCTTCCAAACAGACCATATATACTCCCAGACATAATTTGTCTACGTTAAGACTACGGTGCTCTGTCTCTTGTGATGAAAGGTCAACGATGAACCATCCTGTCAATCCCACAAAATGCCCTTCACCAACTTCTGCAACAATGGAAACATCAGCAAGGAAACGGTTGACAAAAGAAATGGAGCTCTTTATCCCAATTGGAAACGAGTTGGGTAAGAAACTAAAAAAGACAAAATCCACCCTGGGAATGGAGGATGACGTGACAACCGGGACTTTGCCTAGTCGACATAACAGGGCACCCATACAGAGGCAAAACTCCAAGTCTGCAACCCCCCTTATGAAAAGGACCAAGTTTGATGCAGTACAGTTGACAAAAGCTAGGATCCGGGATACCCCAAAGGAACAAGGTGTGTTCTTTTGAAGTGCACTTTTTTTTTTGATTGTTCTTCAAATAGTCTGATAGTAGTGAAATGTATTTTGTATGTGTCTAATAAGAATGTGTGTTCCTAATCATTATTCCTACTATAGATAACTACGATTGTAAAGGTTACAAATGGTCAGAGAAGCCAACAGTGACAAAGCCAATACAAGGTATTACCTAAACAAAATTCTAACATGGTTTGATCTGAGTAAGAACAATTGTCTTACAGCCAACCAATGCACAATGCAATTTCCTTTGGGTTTCTGCAGTACCGGTTTAACTCTTTTATTATTTTTTTTGTACCTGCAATTTTTCATTTTAGGTTTAAGCAGGAAGAGAAAGATGTGTAGATCTCATCCAAGTTCCCGCTAGTGAGAAAAAGGATGGCAGTGTCTACCAATGCAAATCAAGTTTTTCTCACTCCCTAAAGGACAGGTGGCTGATTCGGGAAGCAGCAGTTCTGGATTTTGAGCTTGTCTATGTGGGAACTGTATATACATTTGTTTGCTTGTTGTCAGATGTTATTGTTACTGGCTTCCTAAAGCTATTTTATATTATTTTATACATTTTTATTTTGCATATTTTGTACTTTGATAACCCACTTATGTTCCTATGGGCGAGTTTGTATCTTTCTGTTTTTTAAAATATGACTGTATACAAAACCTTAAATTAATACATTTCTCAATTTGTCTTGCAGTACTTATTTTTCGACACTAGAGGGAGACAATGTTTTATATACTGCACAAACAGCACCAGTGCCCGTTCAACCATATGATGAGGGGCAGCAGTGAGAGAAGCTATGTTGCAACCTATTTATAAACATGGTTATGTGTTGATGAATCATTTGTATAATTGTTTTTGTCTTCCAATGTTGAAATATTAAGACTATAAAAAAAAAAGAAGAAAAAAAAAGATCAGGTATGAATTAAGGTGACTATAGAGTTAATAAGCACCATATCAAATGCATAATTTATAAATGCGCCTACATTTGACCTTAAATACATTTTCAGAAGTTTTTTAGCTCTTAAACCTACCAGAAAACCTATAGGCAAATTAAAATGATAAAATACATCAATTATTCCTTTTAAACATTATCTAAAAATACCTACATTGAATGATCAGAAAGGACATTTATGATTTCAAAGCAGCCCTAACCTGGATATCACTGTTTTCATAGTACACATCAACACTGTGGTGACACGAACATTTATGAATTTTCATCTTCGTTTATTCATCTTTATAGATTATATACACACAATTGTTTGAATGTAGTCTACCTGACTATGACTGGGGCCCCAATTTCGAAATGCTACACCCCTGGCCAAAGCCTGCTAATCTATCCATCCGTCTTCTCCCCGCTTATCTGTGGTCGGGTCGCGGAGGTAGCAGCTCCAGACTGCTAATGACACAGACAAATGTAAAGTTCCCATGTCATGGCCATAATTCCATTGTTGAGGTCTACTAGAATAGATTTTTATTGTGCAATTTCCCAAAATCACATTGGTTTCTCATACAGCATCTCTGTCTGTATAGTATGTATATTCACTCTCTGTCCTAAACGGCTTGTTGGAGCTCCTGCCCCCCTCCCTATGAGCCCAGTGGCCGTCTGCGAGACAGCGAGGCACAGCAAAACCAGCCCGAACACACACAAACCCGCAGCCTGGTTGGGAGTTTGTGGGTGTTTCTCAATCGCGAGTAAAACTGCTCCAGAGCCACTATTTCAAGCATACTAAGTCATCGAGTGCCGCCAAAGTACTGTTCCAATCAGGGCCGGCTCTAGACAATTTGCTGCCCGAGGCGAGATTTTATCTCTCCAGTTTTAAACAATATTTTTGGTTTACTGTCCTATTGTATACATTGGAATGATTTCAAACCTGTTTATCCCAATAATTATAAAGGAGTGCCTTGGAAATATGTGTTTGAGACCCACTGAGATAACTTAGACTAAAGTTAACTATCTAAACAGCACCGGTACTGGTGCACCCTCCCTCGCTCCCATGCTCACTCGCCCTTTGGCTGTGAGCTGCGGGCGCCAGATAAGCCAACATCCCCCATTTTCCTCACTTACAGCGCCCATCGTACAGGGCAAATGAAAAGTGTAATCGGGGTGAAAAGGGTGTTACATTTACTTAATTATGAATATTGTTACATCAAGGCCGAAAATTAGGATGAGCACCAACGGTCAATCATGTTTTTTTCCCTCCCTACCAGCGCAGCGTCTCCCCAGATCTGGCGCCCTAGGCGAACATCTATAACGCCAGT